TCATTTCTATAGAAAAATATGAAGGTTTTATATGTTTAATAGAAAGCTCGTTCAAACATATAAAAAAGCCAAATTAAGTACAAATAACAAATGCTCCTTATCAGTGCTAATAAATGTAAATGATCCCAATTACATATTTTAAGTACTGATAGAGATCATAGAAAAATCTAGCTAAAATTAAGAACTCCATTTTATTTTATTTTTTTCAATTTTGGGTCAAATTCTTTTCTTTTAAAAAAAAAATTTGGAGTCAATTATGAAAAAAAAAAAAAATCACTAAATATGAAAAAAAAAAAAAAAAAAAGAGAAAGAAAAGCCAAATTTTATGTACAAAAATAGAAAGAAAGAAAAAAACTACAAAAAATAGTTTGAAAGAAGGTCCATCTTGTCTCCAGCGGGAGATCAAGATTGGACCATCTAGTCCAGCTAGTGGGCTCACTTTATAGTTCAATTTCAATGATTTGAACTGTTTATATTTTAGGGTTCGTCGAACACATTGTTAGGTCCCTTAGTCTTGTCAATCCTGCGAACAAACTTGAGTTGTTGAGTTGTAATTTTCCATTCTGTTTTATATTGCTCGCTCGAGCGAAGGAGTCCTCGTTCGAGCGAAGAGTGCGTCTGTAAAAAAACTTGAGAGTGATGAATGTACACTCGAGTGCAAGTTGCGTGGCTTGAGCGAAGCCACTTATGGAAATCACGCGAGATAAGTTCCTCGCCCAAGCGAGAGAGTCTTCGCTCAAGTGAGTTTCACAGTTCCAGATTTCGGTAAGTATCTGTTTTACTCCTAAACTAGGATTAGGTTTTGGAGATCTACTTTAAGGTTTTCTAAGGTTTTCTTTGAGAGCAGTTTTCTAGTTTTCCTTGATATTTTTGAGTGAGTTTTAAACCTATGATCTGAGATACATACATCAAGAAATAGGGATGACAATTTGAAACCTGCCCGACGGGGACCCGACCCCCCGACCCCGAATGGGACGATTTTTTTCCAAAAAAAACTCCCCACAGGCCGGGGATGGTATTAAAAAATAAATCCCCGATCATTTTCGGGCTGGGGACGGTGATACCTTCCCCAGCCCCGAAACCGCCCCGTCCCCGTCCCCCGTCCCCTATCCCGTTTGCCCCGGTATGAAATTACAATTATACCCCTCCCTATATATACATGTTTCCTTGTCTCAAGTATGAAAAACTCCCATCTGGACTCAGTTTAGTCTTTCTCTCTCTTTCTCTCTCTCTCTCTCTCTCTTTCTCTCTCTAAAACCCTCCCCTCCCTCCGATGTCCCTCCCTCCGACCTCCATCACTGCCTCACGCCGATCTCCCTCCCTTCGATCTCCCTCATTTCGACCTCACTGCCTCTCCCCGATCTCCGTCATTGCCTCCCTCCGATCTGCGTCTGGGATGCTGATAGTCGTCCTCGACGCCGATCGTCCTCTCTACGACGCCGATCCTCGTCCTCGACGCCGATCCTCATTCGTCGTTCAAACAGATTTTTGTATGTGTATGTATATATACAGATTTTTTATTTTTATTTTTTATGTGCATGTATGTATACAGATTTTGTATTGTTGAAACAGATTTTTTTTTTTTGAACGAAAACAGATCTGTTAGTGTATGTATGTATACATGTATAATGATGATGCTGTTGTCGATGTTGTTGATGGTATTGTTGAACAGAACAGATTTGGGCTGGGGAATTTTCGGGGTCGGGGAAACCCGACCCCGAAAACAGTGATAGGTTCCCCGTCGGGGATCGGGGCCGGGGACGGGGAGATTTTCTCAATCAGGGATTGGGGACGAGGAGGGTAATCCCCGGCCCCGCCCCGCCCCATTTTCATTCCTATCAAGGAGTTTGTTTCTTCATAATTAAGAGTGTTCTTCTTCGGTGGATCCGAAGATTCAAGCGTGGAGCATCAAACGAGTTTGATACTGTGTGTGGTCGTTAATTCGACATTAGAAGTTGTAGATTCAACTTCATACTGATCAATTCCGAGACAAAGGCTGTGGTGAAAGAGTTACAAAAGGTTTGAAGACAAATTTGATGCGTTTGGTAATTTGTTGGTTATCTTTGTAATCTTTCTTTCTTCAGTAGTGGATTGATTAGTGGTGTTTTGCCCATGGGTTTTTTTATCACAATTGGAGGTGCTTCAATTGTGATTTTTCTGCATAAAAATCGTTTGTGTCGATTTATTGTTTTTCGAAAACAACAATCTAAACCACTTTCGTAAGTGCTTGTTGATTTAGATTGTGCATTTTGAATAATTGAAAATTGGTGGAATTAAATCTTTATCTAATCACGAATCACTTAGGATTTTCACACATCATCCATCTAAAAAATCAAGTCAATTGGATAGCATAAACCACGTTTTTGAATCAGTTTTGTAAAATAAAACTAGACGATGAGAAAATAAACGATTCATGTAGAACTAATCCGAACACGTAGTTACCGTTATCCGATCAACTAAATTTTTTACATGAATAATGTGCTAGCCAAACTAAACAGTCCAATTTTGATCTCTAACAGCCAAACCCTAGAAGAAAAATCTAGTTAAAATTTGATCATGTTTCGAAAGTAGATATCGCCATCAATGAACTTCAATGTCTTGCATCCAATCTGACACTTGAAAATGAAGGAGTTGTATTAGGAATTCCAAATAATTTATTAAATTTTTTATCAAACATTTTATGTGGGTGTCTGATCCACACACATGTGGATTTGTGTGAATCTCACACCCATGTAAGGGGCTTGATAAAAAATTTGAAAGATTATTTGGGATCTATAATATTTTTTGAAAATGAAGTGATTTGATCGAACGGTCAACATTGAATTGGGTAGAACCTAATCGCCACATCCACTTAAAGTTTCAAGATATCATTTGGTGGACTATCCACTAAAACTATAATGATAATCCGAATAATTCATTTTATACTTAATAAAAAAATAATTTTATTAGATATCATTGAACACATAAATAAATTATATTTGATTTTTAAATAGACAATACCTATGAGTTTAAACATAAACCATTCATTCTATATAACAAAATACGATTTATTCATTTATTTATCAATATTCAATGAAATTGATTTTTTATACAGACAATTTTCATTATTATGTTTATAAGATAAACAGTTTGGATAATTGTTGTGGGCCTGGAATGGGGCTCAAAAAATAAAGGGGCACTTACCAATAAGTCTCATACACAAAGTTCAAAATCCATCTAATTACAAAACAAAATACTTGCACCAATTAGTCTTACATATTTTTAATTGTTACCAAAAACTCTCTTTTTTTTCTTTTTCTTTTTTTAATAACTTTAAAAATGTCGTTACATCCAACGACGACTGTCAAACTCACTGAAGACTCGCCAAAATATTCAACATCACTGGGGAATCGCCGGAGCATCACCGAAAGTTCGTCAAAGTGTTTTGAGCATCGCCGGAAGTTCGTCGGAGTGTTCTGAACGTCACTGAAAAAAGTCATGAACATCATTGGAGACTCACCGGAATATTCAAAATATTTTCGGGAAAAAAAAAAGAATAAATGGAGAAATTATAGTTAAAAAACATAACAACAACAAACAACAATGTGAAAAGTATATGTTATTTTTCAATTTTTGTAGGGTTTAAGAAAATAATTTGTAATATTGATCAAACTAAAAAGTACGCTTTGAAATTATAAAATGTTACAGTTTCAAAGCATTATTCTATTAAGCTAGAAAACATGTTGTGAAACTGTAAAATTTTATAGTTTTAACGCATGATTCATTTAAGCACCAATTGAAACTGTAAAATTTTATAGTTTTCTCCGCTTGTAATTAAAACTTAAAAACAACTTATTAAGAATTTGAAATTTTTTTCCATTAAAACAAAAAAATAGACGTGTGTAACAGAGAAAAGGTAGAAAAATTAAGAAATCGAAGGGAAGAATAGCTATAGAAATAATATTATACTCTGGCAACTATTTTTGGTTTAAATCTAGTTGGATCTCAAGTAGATATACTCAGATTTGATGTAGATCTGAGTAGATGTACATCAGATTTGAGTAGATTTACTCATCTTCTTCGCCGTCAATAAAGATGAAGTAACGAGTTGATGTCGGTGGTTGGTAGTTGCCGGTGAACCCCAATTAATAATAGTCGTCAGTCACCGGTAACTATATATTACAACGAGAATGATAATATAGAAGGTATGATCACTGGTCGTCGGACATGACAAAAAGAATGAGAGGAAAACGCTGAAAAAAAACAGAGAGAGGAAAACGTAAAGAATAAGAGAGAGAGAGAGAGAGTGAGAGAGAGGAAAACGTGTAGGACTTTTGGGTCCGCTCAAAAAATTGTTAGATTAAATAGTGTACACATATTTCAAATAGGATCTACGAGTAATTTTTCCAAAAATAAAGTATAAAGGATAATGGTATGGAGATCAGTTGTTCCCTTAAATTAAATCACCCCATTCACTGCTCGAACTGGAAAGAAACCTTCCCCATTTTCATATATTTTTTTATACAATTCAATACATTTTCTATAGATTTTCAACGCTCACACCTATTTTAAAGGCTGTTTTTAAATCAAAATTTTCAAATGATCTAGTAATTATAAATGTTTTAGAACAAAAAACAAAGAAATTTGAAGATAAATCTTTGGACACATTATACATACATACATGTTTGAAAAAATTACGACAGAAAAAAAAATTAAAAAATAAAGTTTGATCTTTATAACAGAATAAATTATGAATTTTTTTAATTTTATCAATTTAAATAATATTTTAATTTATTTTTAATTTAAACAATCAATCTATTTATGTTAAATAAAATTGAATAAAAAATAATAATATTTTAATCACTAAACTCAATAAATAATTAGCCTGTCTCATGCTTTGTTGGCCTTTTTTCTACTGTTGAGCTTGTACATTAATAGGTCTCGTTGGCTCTTGCACTCCAAAGAACCATTATTTTGTTATCATTTTCTTTTGTTTTCTGCTTAACCAAACTATCATCAGAACCAATTCTGAGGCAAAAAATTATGAAAAACCTTGCTTTACATGACCAACCAGAAATTTGTGCAAACCAATATAATAAGAAAAGAAACCAAAAATGAAAAATGTCTTCTTCTTTCTTCTTCTTTTTATGTAATGTATGTGAAATATCAATTCAATTCTCTCCACATCTCTCATAAGTCCTTATATCCCTTTTCTCTCTCTCTCTCTCTCTCTCTCTCTCTCTCTCTCTCTCACACACAATGGGATATGGGCTTTACATCTTCTGCTCTTTTGCATATGTTGTTTCATGTTTTCAGCTGTCATACTGTGCCAGAATAGAGAAACTGATCAAGGCAAAAGTAGCACAATCAAGTGGCTGTGATTTGTTCCAAGGAAGTTGGGTCTTTGATGACACATACCCTCTCTACAACTCCTCCATCTGTCCGTTCATTGAGCAAGAATTTGACTGCCAGGGAAATGGACGGCCAGATATGCTATATCTCAAGTATAAATGGAAGCCCACCGGATGTGATCTGCCAAGGTACGTTTGATGTAGCATCAGCCATGTTCACAATTTAAAATGTACTGATACTAGTATTTATTGTGGAGTACTTACATTTTATCTCTTCTATCACTTTACTCTCTATACTTTTAATTAGTTTAATTGTTTATTTTTAATTTTGTATTAATTTGGTTCAATTAATAACGTTATTAATGCTTTTTTAAAAAAAAAAAAAAACACTCAATTGGTTGAGGTTATCTCACTGAATTAACCAAGTTTATAATTTTGCTCGTAGAAGTGTAACACGTGCTAGTTATGTGCATATTATCTATTAAAAATGCTAATAGTTGTAATCAATTAAAGTAAGGTCTCGTTTGGCAACTCAATATTTTAGCCTAAATGTTAAAAAATCACTAAAAACCTAAAAAGTCAAAAATCTATACTAAAAAGTTAAAGATTTTATTTTCTCATTACTTTTTTACACATCTTTTCATACAAAGTCATTCCAAATATACTAATTTTTTTATCTCATATTTTAGCCCAAAAATTAAAAAATTACTAAAATAACATGTTTCCAAATGAGACCTAAATTGAGATAAATTCAGAAATTCCCTGTGAAATTTATCCAATTATATACTTATGTGAGAGTTGACAATTGTTTGTGGGTTAATTACAATTTTTTGTCTTCAAAGTATGAGTTGTGTATAATTTCAATCCATAATATTTAAAGAGTGTCAATTTGATTTACAATGTATAAAAGTATTTCAATTTTACGTTTAATATTTAAATTATATTAATTTGATCTCCAATATATGAAAATATTTTAATTTAATCCCTCGCGTATGAAATTCTAAAGCAATGATTAATTTCCAAATCCTTTTACTTTAAAATTCATAAATTCAAAGGCAATCTAAGATTAAAATATAAGATTAAAATATGTAACATGTCATCAATACTAAATAATATGGGTGCAGATTTGATGGTGAGGAGTTCTTGAGAAGATTTAAAGGGAAGAAATTATTGTTTGTGGGGGACTCTCTTAGCCTCAATCAATGGAGGTCACTCACTTGCATGTTGCATGCCACAGTACACCCCAAACCAAACTTCATGTTTGGGCGAGTAGACCATGACCTCTCTGCATTTACCTTTCAGGTTGGGTTAGGTGCTTTCCACATGGAAAATTCTATTCATATAAAATATAGGTTAAATTATATTAATAATTCTGGTATTTTATGTTTTGTGTCATTTTTATTTATATAATTTCAATTAATTCGAATTTGATCCTTAATTTTAAATTTTGTATCAATTTAATTCAATTGATTACCTTAACTAGGGTTTTTGAAGTCACTGAGTTGATTCATGTTAATTTATTGAGTTGAGCAAGTTTACAATTTTGTCTATAAAAACAAAATACAGGTCGTTTATGTGCACATTTTTTATAAAGAAAAAATACTAACGATTGTAATTGGATCAAACTAAGACAAAATAATAAATTCATAATTAAAATTGAGCTAATTGAAATTATACTCTCTCCTTTTTCAGTATTAAAAAAAAAAAAGGAACCAAAATAACATAAGAGTAAAAATAGAGTCTATCAATGTAATTACCCTAATATATATATATATATATAATCAGACAAATGTGTTAATATAATTTTTGTAAATAATTTTTTTTTTTTTTGAGTGTTTTGTTTTAAAGTGAAAATGTTCAAATTGAAAATATATACATATTCTGTATGAATTTTTTTGCTTTTGTTTTTTGTATATTATTACTATTTTCAAAAAATTGCATTAGGGTCAGGATTTTTTTTTTTTTAAGGTCGGGGGTTTAGTCTCTATTTACTTGGACAGAATATGGGCTTCTCTTCCAATCTAATTTTTGCAATTTTTTTTATTTTTATTTTTTATAACTAACCTCTTAATAATTAGATTAAGGTTCTTGAATGGGCATTTATGTGTCACTAGGAGATTGGACAAAAAAAATTAACTAACTAACTAACATGCAAACAGAAAGTGAAGGTAACGTTTTGTGCGGGGAGCAAATATTCTGGGAAGCCCACACTCCTTTCTTCCAAGTTCCTCCTTGTCCGATCGACCTGCAAGCACAACGGCGGTGAGCTACCCGGCAGTGTGTGGCCAGAAAACCCCTCCGACGATCAAGTTAGACACACACAGGGATAGAGAGGGAGTTAGAGGAGGGTGTTGAGTGTTTAGTGTATGTCTCACCAAATTGTCATCTGTTTACGCATGGGGGACGCAGACCCGCTTATATACCTTCTGCGCCCCAAATCTACTCTCATTCGTCTCTCGACACGTGGTGCTGTTATTCCATCCATCAGCACAAATCTTGCTGTACATTACCTAGCCCAACTGCCAGCCCACTCTGCTGGGAGCTCGGCAACCGGGATACAGCATCACGGCCGCCGACATCCAGGCTGCACTTCATGCCCAAGTGTAGCAATAGCCGAGCTCCGTCCCTATCGTGCTCGACTGCATTCCGACGAAGTCGAGCTCCGGAAAGGTCACGCCGATTAACCAAAGGCCTTCCTGCCGAGCTTCGGGCATGAGTTTCCCTGCCGAGCCAAAGGCGTATGCCTTCTGGCCGAGCAACGCAAGTTGCACGGTCACCACCGGTGCGAGTAGTTCGGCCACGGGCCGGGCGGCCCCAACTCCGGGCAAGTCCTAAGCTATCTCGGCCTAACACACCCTTGGGCCTTCAACTTGCTCGGCTTTTATCTCGGCCCACTCCCGGCTCATAAATCTCCTTCTCAATTACCCCATAATTCCGTCCGCGCAAGTGTGGCTGGGATTATTTATCCTGACCGGGGTAACACTTCCTCGGTCTTCAGTTTTGCAAGAAGTCAACCGAGCTAGTTTTCTTGCTTGGCTCCGTGATTCACTCGGTCGACGCCTCGTCTGGCCTTCCTGTCTTTTCAACTCTGACACTGCCATTAATGGGGGCACGTGTCAATCTCTTATTGGCCCTCGAGCAGCCAACCCAACCGTCCCCTCAAATTTGAATTTGGGCGGCTTCTTTCCTTCTATAAACATGCCCCTTTTCACTTCCTTTCATTCCTACTGCCTCTCTTCAAGTTTTCGACGTTTCAGAGCTCAAGCACCCACAGCAAAACTTCGTCCCTGCCATTCCTTGCATTAGTGCTCGAAGAAGTTGGCCCTGCCCTCAACTGGTAAGTTCCTTGAACCTCGTTTTTTGCTATTTCAGTCGGCGTTTCACATATTAGGGCACTAAAAACATAGGTTTTAGGGCATTAGGCACCCAAAACCGTCCCTAACCCATCACTCTCCTTGTTGTTCTTCATTTTCTCTGATGAACACTGAGGATCTGGAGCGGACCGGGCTCCAGGTCTTCATTCGATCCAAAAAATCATTAAGACCGAGCAAATGACCAATTTGCCAAAACCTTTAGCAGAAACCGGGGTAAGCAGGGAGCTTGGCCGCTCGCCCAGGCAAACATCTGGTCTACTTGAACAGCTGAGCTCCTTGGTACACCTTCAAGACCGAGGTGGTTGACACTCTTCATGACCGAGCAAAAGTCAAGCTCGTTTTGCGCGATCGTGCTCACACTTACCATTGCCATCCTTTTCCTGCAGAGTCCAAGGGGACCACTTGACCAAATATTTAGGCTCTCAAAGACCGAGCAGCCATCAAGACACCGGTCTGTGCCATTCCACCTTAGCCGAGCTAAACCAGCCGGCTACAAATGGGGCGCTTCCGCTTCCTAGTTGACACCCCGGCTGCCTTGGCCTTATTCCGGGAAGATTATGGTATCCCGGCAGATGTTCACCTTGAGCTCGTCGAGATCGAGACAACCCCTTATGGCAGATTAGACCAGTGCCCCTTCACCGTTCTTTCCATTGTTGAAGAAGGCCTCCACTTCCCGGTCAACCCTCTGCTGACCGAGTTTCTGCGCCGCACCGGGCTTGCACCCACACAAGTATCAACCACCACCTACCGAATAATCAACGGCATTCACGAGCTAAATAACCGGCTAGGGACTAACTTAGGTTTAGCCGAGATACTGCGGCAGTACACACTTGGGCACACAGGCGACGACCTCTCCTATTACTTAAAAATTCAACCGGGTAAAGAAAAGATAGTGACCGGCACCCCAGACAAGGACTTACACGATGACGACTTTTTCTGGGTGTCTGGCAACTATGAAACGGCCGACGTACCGGGCTGGTTTATCAGCATGAATTTCGGCTCCACATGTAAGCCGTGCAACCTTGCTTGGTCAATTGCCTTCGTTTCATATTCTGTAATAACTAACACTTCTTTTCTTTCCTTTGCAGCAATCCAGGCCTTACAAGCCAACTACTACTACCCCAACGAGGAAGCCATTAGGGCCGTGCTCCGTTATCGCAACCGGGATTGCAACGAACTGCTCGGCTACACCCCGACATACCGGTACTCTGCTCCACGCCGGAGTAAGGTCACAGACTTCCTCCGCGCTCCATCACCTCCTCCAGACCCAACACTACTGGACGTGCCACTAATCCGGTTAACTGAGGAAGAAGAGATGGCAAAACGTAGCTGTATCAAAAACCTCCTCACCGCAACATCCGCCGAGATACCGAGCGTCGTCACCCGCGCTCCAGCTGCCGGTCAATCAAGGGGCGCCGTGGTGGCGTTGGCGTCTCCAGCCGCCGGTCAAGCCAGCCAAGAAGCCCGCCGGGCTGGGAAAAGGCCTCGCGCAGATCCCACTGCTAAGTTGGTTGAAGAGCTGACTACCGAGCAACCAACTGTCACCATAGACCCCACGCCGGCATGGCGTCCGCAGCTGAAGCATCGGGGTAAGGAGATCCCAGCAACAGCCTCTGTGTAGGGCGACAAAGAACATCTCCTTGCCTTCGACCTCTCCAAGGCCCTTCTCCTGCCGAGCGACGTGGTCGGGAGCGATCATGTCCCAGACACCCGGCTGGTGAAGTCGGCCGTGAAGTCCATGATCTTTGGTTTTTTAGAAACAGAAAAACAGAATTAACACCAAAAATTTCAATTAATTGTTTTAAGAGAAAAACAATTTTTTAATTTCCAAAAACTTCTCTAATTTTTTTTTTTGGCACAAAAACAAAAACGATGACTGTTCATTGTTTTTTCTTCTCAAAAACATGAAAAACCAAAGTATCAAAAATTAAAATAAAACCTTTTTTTTTATTTTGAATATTGCTAGCTATTAAAAGAAATTAATGGAGTAGCTATTGTCCTAGTTCCGATCTCTAACTGGGACTTCACCGTGTGCAATTTCATGGGATATTGCAGGACTATGATATTTCTGTGATGTTATCGCGTAATGAATTTCTAGTCGATCTAGTAACTGAGAACATAGGTAGAGTTTTAAAGCTCAACTCCATCGAAAATGGCAAATCATGGAAAGGAGTAGATACGCTCATCTTCAATACCTGGCATTGGTGGCTTCATGAAGGACACAACCAACCGTGAGTTCTCCATCAAAAAAATAAAATAAAATAAAATATCAAAAATTGTGTATTTGATAATTTGTGACAGTTAGTAATAATGCACAGAAAAATAATAAGATTTGTAACAAAATGTAATATTAGTTTTTTACAAATATAAACTTTACAAAGTATATTTCAAAATAAATTGTTGAAATATTCGGATGTATTAATCTTTTTTAGCATACACTTTATTATTTGTAAAAATTTAACTACTCCTTTTTGTTTTTGACACGTGATTAGAATGTATGGTTTGTTGTGTTTTAGATGGGACTACATTCAAATAGGGAATACAATATACAAAGACATGGATCGATTGTCTGCATTTAAAGAGGGATTAATAACATGGTCAAAGTGGGTGGACTCTAACATTGATCCTAATGTCACAAAAGTATTTTTTCAAGGCATTTCACCTATTCATTACAAGTAAGTCCTTTCACTCCTTCCTCTCTTGGTAGTTGTTGCAAGTGTTATCCCGGTTCTAACACTTCGTAGTGATTAAGAGAAAGTATTTTATATAATAAGTATGTCATGTTAGGGGTGGGCGCGGATCGGTTGTGGCTATGGAACTTTTAATTCGTCATCCGTCCGCTAGGTTGGTGGATTGGAGAAAATCAATCCACACCCGTCCGTCAATTCAGCGGATGTGGATTGAGCGGATTGCGGTTTGGCGAATAGATGCGAATCGGTTTGGCGGTTTAAAATTTTATAAATTTTTAACACAATTCAACTTGTGCACTTCCTCAAAAAAAAAAAAAAAAGTATTACAGTCAATGACTTAAAAAAATATTATAATCATTGCATGCCTCGTCCAAAGCAAGAAAGTTTGAAACTTTAGAATATCACAATCATTGCATGTCTCATCTACATAAAGTATTACAATCTGTGATTCTTAAAATATAAAAATAATTCAAACCACCAAAACCATAAACATAGCAGTAGTAGAGATTGTACGTCTCTGTATTGTTACATCTATATCTATTTTTGAAAACAAAAACCAACCAGAATATATCATATTTTTTATTTTTTATTTTTTATTTTTAGAAATAGATTTAAAAACCAAAAAATATAGATAAATAATACGTTTATTTTTTTCAATTCAAAAAAGGTATTCAAGTTGAAAATTTTTTTTCAACAAAATATTTAAACTCTTTTTTAATTGAAAATGCAAACAGAATATTTAAACAAACTGAAAACCCAAAGTCTTATAAATTCCTAGGGGTGCTCGCGGTTTCACGGTTCGGTTGCGGCCAAAAGAATCTCATATCCGCCATCCGTCCGCCATATTGGCGGATTGGAGAAAATCAATCCGCAACCGTCCGCTCATCATCGTGCATTCGTTCAAAATGTGGCGGATTGGTATATCCGCTGCTCACCCCTATGACATGTGACTAAACTGACGTAGTGTACTCTTTCACTTAGAAGTGAGCATGGTCCAGATTGAACCGGATTGGGGTAAAATCAGGACCAATCCGTTATCTATAGTTCCTGAAAAATTAGAACCAATCAAATCCGTTTAAATCATGGAATCAATCTGAACCAATCCATTTAAATACGGATTGGATCGGTTTAGGACCACGGATTCACATAATTAAATAACAAAAAAATATATATATAACACTTCAATTTCATAAAAATATAAATATAGCGCTATATTAGTTTCACAATAGCAACATGTTTTTCTATAATACGACATACTGTTTTAGAATTTAAACAACCATAAGAAAATTGGTTTCACCATAAGAAAATTGGTTAATAAATAAAAGTAATAAAAGAAGATATTATACGGTTTTAGGTTTGAATTTAGATTTTATATAGAATAAGAAAAGATACTATGGGGGAAGATGTATAATAAAAATATAGATTATTTGTATACGGTCTGGATCGGTTCCAATCCGAAACCGTGGGGTTCAATCTGAAACCAATCCGTAGACTATAGATTTTTAATTCTTCAATCCGAAACCGAACCGCAGATTCAAAAAACTAATCTAAACCTATCGGATTGAACTGGACTGGATCGGATTACGAATTTTACGGATTCCTTGCTCAGCTTTACTTTCACTCATCAATTCACAAGTGATAAAAATTATATCTAACGAGTTACTTTATACTTAGCCCAACGAAAAGTTTGGTCTCTAAATTACTAAGAGTGATTTCAGTTTAAGTCAAAATGTTCAAATTTTATTTACTAATTTTACAAAGATTTTAACTCTAGGAGAAGGTCCCTCATTTGACTCAAAATTAACAGAAGTAATTACCCAACATTAAAAAAATAAAAAATAAAAAAATCTCATTTTCCAATATTATTTTTGCAACGGACAAATGTAAAGAGTTTAATTTCTTACATTTTTCTTTTACTTTTTGTTGCTATTGAGTAGTGGTAAAGCATGGAATGATTCCAATTTAGCAACTTGCCAAGGGCAAACGCAACCATTAAGTGGTTCATCATACCCCGAGGGTTTACCACCTGCGATAGCTGTGGTGAAAGAAGTGCTAAATAATATGACTACTCCGGTTACTTTGCTAGACATAACAACACTATCACAATTGAGAAAAGATGGGCATCCATCAGTTTATGGCACTAATGGAGAGAATGAAAATGATTGCAGCCATTGGTGTGTTGCTGGTGTTCCTGATACTTGGAATGAGCTCTTGTATGCAATTCTTGTTTCTAGTGATTAGATTGAAAAGACTATGATGCCTCTCCATAGGAGAACAATCTATGAAGCACGGATACTTCAAAAAGGGTGACGTATCCGTATCGGATACTTATCGGATACCGATACTCCTCGGATACTCGCGAATACGTATCGGATACTTCTTAAAAGTATCAGATACTTCTTAATTAATTTTTTATTAATTTTATCCGTATCCCGTATCCGTATCCGTGCTTCCTAGAGAACAATTGATGGTGTAAACATTGTTTTAGAAAAATCTTATATGAAGTTCTTCAAAAAAAAAATTTAAAAAAAAAACACAAAAAATAAACAAGCAACAAATATTAACAAATGCAAATATGTCCATGGTTGAATTTTATTTTTTTATTTTTAATGTTTTGAGTAATGTTAGAGATCGTAAAAATGAGTTCAAAAAATAGATCCTTTTTTGGTTTGAATTCTCAAAAATTATTTTTAAACGGGTTTTCGTTTGTTTTTATTGAACTTTTTTCTTTTATATTTTAGTAATGTTTTTTAACTTTGTAGATACATCACGATTAGATGAATTTAAAATAATAATAATAATAATAATAATAATAATAATAAACTAATGAAAAGAAATTACCAAAACAAATGAAAACTCCAACAAAAATACAGAGAGATTTGTATTCGAATTTTAATATGTTTTAGTAAATTTTTTCAATATTTTAGTCAATTTATTTTTGTTTTTAGATGCATTTAAATCAGGTACAATTAAAAAGTACAAAAAAATTTAACTAAAATATGAAGAAAAAAAATGAGGGATTTAGCAAAAGCTCCCTTGGTCTAACTAACATTTTGGTACAAAAGGACACAAGCTATTTGTATTTGAAACACCCTTCATTATTAAAATATAAGATGAATTGACTATAATATCCCATATATAGAGAGAGACGAAGACTTGCATACACCAAATCATTCCTACTTAGTTGCTTTTCAAAACACTCTCCGAAAAACTCTTATTTGAAAGCGAAATCATCGTGTTTTGCTACAATTTCATTGCTATTTCTCTTGCACGTTGGTTTTCACATCACAAATATTATCTTCTACTTAATCATTAATCATCGACTCGTCTCCGATGCCAATCTGATTGAATATCAAGATTAGAGGTTTAGATTGTAAAAATCTCTCACTTTTTGGAAGTTTATTTAAATTGAGTTTTTTTTTATTTGATCAGTTCAAATACTGAGATTGGGATCCCAAATGACAATGTTATTGCAGTATGTTCACTAGTGAGAATAATAAAATTTTACTCTCTACCAGAGTAAAATTTTAGAGTAAATTACAGTTACCTTGTTTGAGGTTACTGACAATTACACTAGCCTCCCCTCTTTTTTTGAAATTACACTAACCTCCCCTAAGGTTTACTTTTTTGAATTGCAGATTACCCATTTTCGTTAGTTGACCATTAGTTTGACTAACAGTTTTATTTTTTATGTTTTATCTTGTTACGAAAGTTAGTGATTAGTTGTTAGATTAACACATAGAGGGATTTCAGTTTGGTTTGTATAACATTTGAAGTGCTTATCTGTAAATTAAAAATAAAAGAAATCAATTAAGCATTTTTAGGTAAGCAAAATAATATGAATTATTGAAGCCAAATGAAAAATACAAAGCTTTTATGTATGTAATGCAATAAATTATATATATATATATATGAGAAATTTTGTGGAATGTGTACCATATGCACCTTTAGTTTCTATCTTTGTGATATTGGTTATAGTCTATTGTGATGTTAGTTTTGACTCATTGTGATATTAATTATGATATTATTTTAGTTATGATCTAAGAGTTATTTTGTTATACCCCAGTTGGTGATTAGCTATAACTCATTTTTTATTTAAGTTATGACTCCTATAGAATTGGTGATCAAACCCACAAATATAATAACTTGCGTATGGTACACCCCCTTTTGTCATAACAACATGTTATATTAGAATACACACAATGTACCATATACAAGTTATAATATTTGTGGTCTTGAGGTTTCTAATAACAATTGCACTGGCCTTCTCTCATTTTTTGGAAATTACACTGACATGCCATGTGACTAACCCTCCTATTAACACCGTTAGTCACATGAGAGGTCAGTGTAGTTTCAGAAAAAATGAGGGGATGATAGTGTAATTGTTAGTAACCTCAGGGGAGGTGAATGTAATTTATCTAAAATTTTATTGTGTAGGAGTACAAAAAAAACCCAAACCATAGTGAAATTTTATTGTCAATTTTATGAACAAATCAAAATAAACTTCTAATATCTTTTATAACTAGATTGTCACCAAACGTCTTCTTAAATGCTCAAATTTCATAATAAATTTATTGTAAATCAATAAAATTTTACTATTGACGTTAGTTTTAATGGTAAAAGTTTTACTATTTTTTTTAAAGAATTTTATGACTAACATGAATCTTATTTAATTGATCTTATAGAGAGTTCTAAAAATACTAATTTATTAAAAACCAATAAACAGATCAAAAGTTATCATTTCAAAATTCAAAATATAAAATTAATTACTAAGGATAAAATCATCCATAAAAAAATAGAAAGAAATTTGTTTGAACTTTATGAAGGATGAGCTTCTTCTTCAATGGGGTTTGGAAAATAAAAATAAAAAAATTGACTGTTATTTTTACTAAAAAGGGACCCAAGGGAGGGGTTTTACCCAAAAAAAAAAAAACGCAAAAAAATTCACTAAACATAAATGACAATTCATTTCAAAAAAAATTAAAATCAACCCATTGTAAAGTAATAATGGGAGTGGTCTATGTCATTCTATTGATAGAAGATGCGATTTATGGAAACAGTTCTTTCTATCTTATTTATAGTACTAACAAATAATGATTTTAGGTCATGTTTGATTCAAAAGACTAATAGTGAAGTATTAATAATCCTATTAAATTAGTGTAGGATTCACTATCCAATTGGATTAATATCCATTGGATTAATAATCCCAAAAAAAAAAACCCACAAAAATTCACTAAACATAAATGACAATTCATTTCAAAAAAAATTAAAATCAAACCATTGTAAAGTAATAATGTGAGTGGTCTATGTCATTCTATTGATAGAAGTTGCGATTTATGGAAACAGTTCTTTCTATCTTATTTATAGTACTAACAAATAATGATTTTAAAGATAATAAAAAAAAAAAAAGGAAATTACGGTTAAATTTATTTTACCACTATGTGCTTTAGAGCGGAGTGCTTTGGCCGCTATGGTTCAAACATAATTAGGAAATCTTTATATAGTTTTAAAAATACTATTATTATTAGCTTTTACATTCATACTAATGAAAATTATTTTTTAGAGTGGGTTTGATTTTTCGAAAAAATAAAGTGAAATTTAAACAACAAAAAGATAATTTTATCCGAATTTTCTTCAAATTTAAAATTAAATTAATACATTAATTAAAATAAATAAATAAATATATAATTAAGGATTGATTTAAAATATAAAATCTAATTAAGGATTCATTTAAAATATAATTAAATAAAAATAAATAATAGATAATAATTAAGAATTGATCTAAAATATAATTAAATTAACATGTTAGGAATTACAATAAATAATTAATAATTTAGGATTAATTGTGATTTAAAATAAAATTAGATTAAAAAGTTAATAATTTCAATAAATAATTAAAAATTTAGGATTAATTGTGATATGAAATATAATTAAATAAAAATTTACGGCGGTGCTACATGTACTAATTACTGTACTAACTAATATACCAACACTAGTTATGATATTATTATTCACCCCACTCATTAATTACATTACAAATACCAAAACCTCTTAAATCATGCGCTATCATCAATTGGTACACTCACTACAAGAAAATGTATTTTTGCCGACTATTTTTGGCTACCAAAAACAATTTAGTCGCCAAAAGTCACGGAATTGGCTACCAAAAATAATATTAGTCGGCAAAAGTCAACTTTTTAGCTACTAATTTTTTTTAGTAGGGGAATGTTGATTATTGGCGACTAAAAAAAATTTAGTAGCTAAAAATATTACAATTGGCGACTAAAAAAATTTTTAGTAGCTAAACATATCACAATTGGCGACTAAAAGAAAATTTAGTAGCCGTAGAGGTACCTTTAGCTACT